GAATCTTCGAAGATAATCGCATACTGGATCAGCGAGCAAAGCGTACATAAGCGTTTGTAATTGACGCTTTCTTCGATGCTATGCTCGTCGCTTTGCTCGCCGCTCCACTATGCGATTAGCCTTAGAAATAAACGTCCGTAGCTACATTTAAAAGCCTTTCCCTGTAAGGTAGAGGGCTATGCACAATAGATCACCTTAGAAGTCACTGTGCTTATGGCCCATAATAATAATAATCTTAATATCTAAAACAAGGGTGGTACATTTTCTCTCACTCAGCACATTTCCACGACATCCAAATTGCGCAATATCAACACTCAATTTCCAATTGAAATTGTAGCTGTGTAAACGACCAACTTAATTTCGATGACAGTTTTGTTTTCACTGTTTGTTTTGTTTTTATTTGCTTGTTATTGACGTTTGTTTTTCTCGTTCTTTTTTCAGATCTCAGAAGTTGAGGCAATTTCGTTTGAGATTCATTCGCGATTCCGGGTGAGAGCTTTTTGTCTGGCAAAATTTAGAATCGTAGCGCAATTTCAGCTGAAATTGACAATAGTACCGTAATCGCGCAATTTGGGCGTCGTGAAAATGCTCTTTAAAGCGGGGTAGCGTAATAAATATTCTCAAAAATTGTAGTAAATCTAGTACGATAGTAGCAGCGTTCTAACCCTACTTTCGTGAGTTCACAAGCGGCATTCATTGCTTTCTTTCTTTCTTTCTTCGAAGCAAATGAAATGAAAATGTTGAAACGATTGTAGCATTTACAACTCATTTCAAGCACAATAGCGCAACTAGAATACCAACAACAACAATAAAAGCATCAGTAACTAGTAAGAAAAGTCTGCTGTCGAAGCGCTCAAATGGATAAATGCAACCAAATGTTTCATGTCAAGCGAAATGAATTCAGCTAAACACAGTTACAAAACAAAGAAAACAGTGCAAAAACTTTATTAATTTTTTTAACAAATATGTACAAACAAATATCTCTCATTTATTTGGTTTTTTTTTTTTAATTTTCCATTTTTACTTTTTCAACGCTATCTTTGCTACCTTTTGTGTAAGCTACTTGGGGGGGTAATATTTAATAGAATACCATTTTTTGATTTGCTGTACTGACGATCTGTGACCGCTTGAGTGACAGCGAAATATCAAGGGACTGCAGGATGTCAGGAAAGGCGAATATAGAAAAATGCACAACGTTAATGATACATTTTGAAGTGCACACAATCAACGTGATTACTTCTACTGGCGAATATTGTAAAATAGTGGCTAATGAAAATGAGCCGATTTCTAATATCTAGGCAATTATATATTTTTGTATGTTCAAATTTGAAACCGAGTACCCTTGATCGGAGGCATTCGCCTGACGCTTTCTGATAGAGTCAATAGTTGAGCTTCTATGCACATATGTACATACAGTGGCCAAAAAAATTATAGTCGCACCATATTTTGACAAAATTTATTTATTTTTTGTTATTTAATTCTGGTTATTTTTTTACAAGAATATAGTTTATTCTGTAACAAAACCCGAGTAAATCCAAGTTTCAAACGTTGTGCAATATTTAAAAAAAATGCAACAAACGTTCGTAAAAATTTCGAGCTTTTTTGATTAGATATTCTAAAAAGATTCTGCAAGTTTCAAATGGCTAAAAACTACCGATAATTTTTTAGATTTTTTTTGTCGAAGATGTTACGGGTTTCTTCCAAATAAATTCGTTATATGGAAGCAAATGGGGCAAAAAAATCTAAAAGATCAACTCTGATATTGTCGAAGGTTTCGATTTCATCTCTGACAATACGGATCACTGTATAACTAGTCTTGCATTAATTAGCTCCTTCTCTACGCACAACCTAATAAGATATTGCGAACTTTTACACGGATGGGTATGGATGGCAAATAAAATAATCGATTAATTAATCATATGATTAATCACAAGTAAAAAAAATTTATTTGCAATTAATTGCAATTATTGAGAAATAATCGATTAATCGAATTTTTAAAGGCAATTTTTAACAGTGAATATTCACAAAAAAACGTTTCCATAAAAAATGCTAATTCTCTTGTTAAACAGCCTTAAATAAAATAAAAAGAGTATTTTACCGGCGATAATTATTTATTACTTAACCACGTTCGCAAAAATAAAAGCTTTGGTAAGCGTTTTGTTATTAAGCGGTTGCGTTTCTCGGTAGCTATAGCACCAGCTTTTGAAAAAAGGCGCTCAGCAGGCACCGAGGTATTTTTTTAAAAGTGCGTAAAGTTTTGGGTAAAGAGTTATCATTTCCTGCCAACTGTCGATGATATTCCTTTTTAGTTCTAGGACTTGACAATTTAAATAAAAACTCATTTCATCTTGTAGATGGCCCAAATCATCATCTTTCGGCCTTCGTTTGTGTACAAGAGACTTATGAGTGGCCCAAAGATTAAACTCATTTTCTATTGATTCTAGTGACGACCCGCTACCCGTTTCCAAGGGATCATCTGCGTGCATTATTTCATTTCGCAAGAACTTCATTACTGAGTAAAAAATTATTTTTTTGAACCTCGGGTCGAGTAAAGTTGATGCAGTTAGCAGAAAAGAATGTTCGATGGCTGGATTTTTGACAACTAGAGAATTCATATTTCTTGAAAATATTTTACGATACTACGATATGATTAAATCGTAAATTGATCAAAAATAATTGATTAATTTAATCAAATAATTAATCGCTGCCATCCCTACGGATGGGTCACCATTAACCGAAAAAAAAAACGTTTTCTCAAATTTTTGTCGTATCACGCTTCAGCGTAAAGGCTTCTCTGAGAGAGAAACCAGTTGCGCACATTGTTAAGGTTAGGAACTATAATTAATTTTTAGTTTCAAGCACATCGACGGCGAAAGATCGACCTATTTCGGCAGCCGGTTCGAAAACGCCCTACCTCAGCAAATTTTGCTAGAACACCCTACCTCAGAATTTTATTTGAAGAACGCCCTATTTCAAAACTTGGTTCAAGAGCGCACTATTTCAATGTAAATTCAATATATCGACAGCTGAGATAGGGCGCTTTTAAACCATTTGCTGAGATAGGGCGTTCATCAACCAAACTCTGAAGTAGGGCGCTATTGAGCCATTTTCTGAGACAGGACGTTTCCGAACCGGCTGCTGAGCTAGGTCGATCTTCCTCTCAGCCGTCGATATATCGTTACCTTAATATAGAAAGGCTCATTTTCTTTCAAAATTCCTCTCTGTACAAACGTTGGTAGCCTGCTCACGATTTTTTTCAGTCGCACACCCTCAATCGGTAATACCACGATCACAGATATTACATATAAATTTTTGTTCCGATTGGAGGCAGTTAAGGCGTGTCGCAAAGTTCAGATTCCCCTATAGAGACTGAATAAATTAAAATTATTATTTTTTTCATTTAATACCCAAAATCGATACTACCATAGTCGAAGATATCACATATAAATTTTGGTTCCGATTGAAGTCGGTTAAGGCGTGTCGCAAAGTAGTCAAATGAAAGAAGCCTCTATGGAGACTCAAAAAGTTAAAAATATTTTTTTCATTTAATACCCAAAATCGACACTACTAAATTCGAAGATATCACATATACATTTATGTCCCGACTGCAGTCGGTTTCGACGGTTTCATAGGGTAGTCTGAAGTGAAGTGGGACCAAAATGTATATGTCAGTCCTAGCTCCCTTCGGAAATCGAGTTGATTATTTGGTGTGTCGAGCGTGATGGCCAAATATCTCACTTCCGAAACAGTTTTGACCTCTATGCCATCCTGAGTTATAGTTCTCATTCCCGGTAGGGTTCTTCTTCTTGTGAATAGGATAATGGCTGTTTTCGTTGGGTTTATATTGAGGCCCACGCATCATGCTTTTGCTTTCTTAAAGCCATTTGGAATATGTCTGATAGAGTCTTCTCGAACCTCGCTCTTGCTATTATGACTATGTCATCCGCATAGCCCTGGCATCGGATTACATTCTCCGATAGAGTTTACAGGAGTTCGTCTACTACTAAAGGGATAATAACCGCCTCCTTGGGCATCCTTTTGCGGTTTTTAGCTGTATAGAGGGTTTTGATTTGGTTTTGGTTTGGTAATATGAGTCTGTTTACCCTATCTTCTATCTTTCACTGTATACGTTTACTTTTTTTATAGTTCCTTCAACCAGGTATAACATCAAAGCTCTATCACCACCAAACACTGCAACAATGCTATCGGAATCTTTTTCATGCATGGCACATACAATATTTTTTGTCATTTCACCAGCTAGTGGAAAGAAAGCATTATACAGGTGGCAAATATTTACAAAAGCGTATTGTATTCATTGACAATTAGTACTACATATGAACAGGGGAACTTTCTGTGCTCAAGCGCACCACTCCGACGGCATATCAATCGATTGTTTACCAAACTTATTTATCTTTTGATTAAAATCACTTGCCCATCTTGTAGACTTAGGAGCTTAATGAGCAAACGATTAATTTTAATTAAACTTCTCGATATATCAATTAAGTGTAACATTCGCAGAGCCACAGTCGTTCAACGCCATTCGTACGCCTAAAATGCAGCACTGCAAGTTAATCTATTGTTTAGCAAGTTTTGTAACCAACTATAGCCTCGTTGTGGACTTTGTGGTATACAGACATAATACAAACTCTTTGGAGAATCTCTTAATTTTTTCATCTGAGAAGTTTCCTAGTGTTGGCATAGAACGTGAACTTCAGAACCGTCTACAGATACCACAAATGATTATGAAAAACGAAATATCTACAAATATCAAGAGTTTTGTGAGTCACAACAGCTTCGCGTTAATCTTTCTCGCCCACCTTGAGGAACAAATAACACTGAGGCTTATCTCAGTAAATCTGGTCGGTCGACCACATATTCCAATGGTGCTTGTTAGCAAGAAGGCACCCGATAGTATGGGGGCAGAGCTGGCCTTTTTCGAATTCTTTTGGACCAGAGGAATGTACAATTTAGTGCTGATTTATCGCACAAACAATACCATGATGGTACGCGCTTATGAGGCATTCCCCCAGCCGTATATTATCGCATTGGATGCTAGAAACTTTAGTAGTTTTTTCTGGAATAAACATCAAAATGTGCAGAAATATAATTTTCAGCTTGTTTTTTTTAACGATTCACCGGTGACATTTGCGGTAAGAAAAAAATAATCACTAACCATTTCCGTGAAGAACTTTAAACTAAAATGCACAATTTTCTTTTAAAATAGTTGCCAAATAATACCGGACTCGGTGGTCTCATAGGTGAGGTTTTCCGTGTATTTATGAAACGTGTAAATGGCACTTACTCAATATACCCAATGACCGACGAGTTTATTAGTAGAATGGATATGAGCGGAAATCTTCTGGTGCCGGTAGAAGGAGCAGTCGGGAGCGTAGATTTTAGCTATCCCCTCTACCAAACCCAAATATGTTTGATGCTACCCGTCGAACGAGAGATACCGCACAGCTGGTACCTTTGGTATATTTTCGACACATTCACTTGGTCGCTCTTGAGTTTGACGTTTCTTAATCTCGTCATGCTAGTTTGTTTCATTGGGTGGCGACACGACAACAACCATTTTCGGGACGTTGGACTATATATACTGGTCGCGCTTAAATTATTTCTAACTCACCCATTATCAACAGATCGTGTCTTCTCTGTGAAACGAAGGTTATTTTTGGCATTATTTTGTGGTCTCTTTATGATACTGGTCAACATCTATATTAGCAGTCTGACTTCTTTGCTCAGTGCGGGAGCTCGCATGCCCAAAATACGAACAACTGGGGACTTTCTAAAAACTGATCTGAAAATTATGAATGCACCATCGGAACGTGAGCTTTATTTCGAAACCGATTTGTTGCCAAGATCACTTGCGTCGCGCTTACATGAATTTAATTCTACTATTATAGAAGAAAACCGTTTAAAAGCGAATAGCTGTTACGCCTATTTGGTGTCTACGGAGAAATGGTTGTGGTACAAAAAACAGCAAGCCCACCTACAGCATCCATATTTAAGAATCGCCTCAGATGAATTGTGCACACCATCTTTACATCAAATATTCTTTATGAAAAAGAAATCTCCGTTCAAGGAGACAATAAAGCTGCTCGGTCTCGAGTTGCAAGAGTTCGGATTTGTTAATCACTGGTTAGAGGGGATACCGCCAACTGCAAAACCAGAAATTTCAAACGCAACCTCCCAAGATAAAGAGCCATTGAAAGTGGAGCATTACAAGTTAGCATTTTGCATTTTAGGCGTTGGGTGGTCACTGGCGCTGTTCGCCTTTACGGCGGAGTTATTTAAGTGGCGACAAAAGGAAATCTTCTGAACAGGAACTCTTTTGCGTAAACTTTTAGATTTTGCAAAGGAATATTCTATTAAAAAGTTGAGGGTTGAAAGAACTTAAAGAAAATTAAAATAAATAAAAGAAAAGAAAAGAAAAGAAAAGAAAAGAAAAGAAAAGAAAAGAA